GGGGAGATAAGTTATATACCAAAATCATAAATAATATACCAAATTGTTAGGAGGACATCCTGCTTTTTCCTTTCATATGACCTCCTCTGTAATTAAATAAAAGGAAATGTCAGATTCAGCTCCAATATTTGTTACTTTAATGGAAATACCACCCATGGGTTGTCTTCCCACTTGTTATAAAACTTTTCTTTCCAATGCTCCAGATAGAACAGTTACAAATAAACTGCCTATCCATCATAGAAGGTTAATATGGGAGTTTCAATAATGATTTGGGGATATAATAATATAATGAAACTTTTATATGGACAAAAACATCATGCCTCTAGAAGATTATACACAAGAATATGGGGACAAAGATGAAGTGTGGGATCCTTTGCTTAATGATGTTAATCCAAGATGTCTTAAATGTAGATTTGGTTATAGGGCTTCAGTACATTATCCATTTAAAAACGTGAAAAAAATTATGACTACTCTATAGCCACATCATTTCATAATTATAAAGTTTTTAACTAATCAGTTACTACAATATTATGGATATAAGCCTGATACATTTACAAATGAGCCTATTAATAGATGATTCACTCCAGGATGGGTAGAACCTATTTATGTTAGTCATTCTCCTTCATATACTTCTAATGTTTTTCCAGGATTATTTAAACTTTTTGCTGCAACTAACACGGTTTTTCTAAAGAGCCTAGGAAATCTAAAAGTACTCCTTTGACAATTAGATCTTGTTTAGGCTATCCTTATGACACACTTACTGGACATTCTTCAGATTTAAAAATTACTAAAATAAAATAATCTTATCAGGTCAATTGTTCTAAATGTATTTTAACTAACTGTATTGATCCTATGTTAATTAAAAATTATTCAGTTATTTTATGACTACAAAGACCTTTTCATGTTATGCTTCCTGTAAATCTAAAACCTGATGCCTGATTTGACAATACAGCCTTAGAAGTCCTAAAAAGAGTTAATAAATTAATTGAACCAAAGTGCTTTGTTACAGCTTTAGTTTTAGGCATTAGTGTTTTTAATAGACATCCTTACTTCACTTACAGTCTCAACAGTTGCCTTAGTTTCAGACATAAAAACTACACATTTTGTTAATGATTTAAATAAAAATGTCTCTTTAATACTTACAAGACAACAAATAATAAAAAAACTAAAATTAAAACTTGATGCTTTAAAGGATGTAGTTTTAACACTAGGAGAAGAGTTAAAATTTATTAAAATACAACTTTCTACTAAATTCCATGCCAGCTTTCATTAACATATATGTAACACCATGGCCTTATAATGAGAGTCATAATGAAAATCTTACTAAAAATCATTTGGTAAAAATTTAAAAAAACAATGATATTACCCGTGATATGGCTAAATTACAATACCAAATTTCTGCTATGGGTAAAACACATGTCAAACCTACCAATTTAAAGAATTTGGCTCAGTCTATTAGCTCTGCTTTACAGTCATTAAACTCAATTAAAAGGTTACATTAGATTTTTGTTGTTGTAGTATCAGGAATTCTTCTTCCTCTTCTTCTTCTTCTTCTTCTTCTTCTTCTTCTTCTTCTTCTTCTTCTTCTTCTTCTTCTTCTTCTTCTTCTTCTTCTTCTCATTTTTCCAGTCATCTTCCGACTAGTCTCTTCTTCCATCTCTACAGCCAAAACAGATATATATGAACTTCAATTAAAAAATTTTAAAAAACAAAATGAGATGCCACACCAACTCCAGTAGAATCTGTGTGACAAGTTCCACAGATTGAGGTGAGAACTTCAAAAGAAGGAGGCCACCTGGAACTGGTTGTAAAATTCTAAAACTCTTGGCTGGAGCAAACTATTAAGCGGTAGTTCTCATAGCAATCTATCTGTTTTATCTCTATTTCTTTCCATATTTACAAGGCAGTTTCTGATAGTCTAGGATAAGATTTCAGGTGAAAAATATGGATAAGAAACCATCCTTTGAGGTAGTGTCACCAGCCATGACCTTATGACCAAAAAGACCAAAGCTTTACTTCATAAATCATTTACAAAATTATAAAATAGTACAATGATTAGATAAAATTTTCCATCAATAAAATGTCATATGACTCTACATATGTCTGTAGATGTAACCAACCGTCTTATTAAATAAGAAACACAGAACCAATGTAAAAGAGAAAACCGAGAGGTCAGAGCTCAGAGCTAAAATCTTACCTCCTGCGGTGCTCCTACCTCCCCGAAAGAGAGCTACTTCCTATGTGTATGTCTTTAAATAGTCTTTCTGTTCTGCCTTCTCATTGGTTGTAAACCCAAACACATGACTGCCTCGTCACTGCCTGTAAGTACAGCCCTCCACGTCTTAAAGGCGTGTGTCTCCAATGCTGGCTATATCCCTGAACACATAGAGATCTACCTAGCTCTTCTACCAAGTGCTGGGATTAAAGGCTTGCACTGCCGCCACCACCACCACCACCACCACCAACAACAACAACAACAACAACACGCTCTTGCTATGGCTCTAATAGCTCTGACCCCTAGGCAACTTTATTTATTAACCTACAATGAAAATCAGATTTCAGTACAAATAAAATACCACCATATATGTCTTTTAAAATGGGCTTAGATATATAATAAAAGCCTTAAACCAAAAAATTAATAATCTAAATTTATACCTTGAAGATTTAAAGAAAAAAAAACTAGGTACTAGTTGTAAACAATAACTAACAATAAAAATGTATTAACCTGTTCCTAAGAATGTGCCATCTGCCTTGGATGATTTTATGCACTAACTTGTTCTTGAAAACCTTTGCCTTGGATGATTTCAAGCTTTACTCTGCCAAATGACAATGATGTTACATGTCCTATCTGTGATTGTTTCACTAAACACATCTTTTAAGAATTTTAATACTTCTTTCACTATATATAAAAATCCATACTTAAAAACTACATGATACACTGATTCAAACTGCCTCTGTGTTTGTTTCTGTTTGCCATCACCGAATACTTACCCACCTAGCCTTTGAGGACCTTCGTCCCAGGGACACCCATATCTGACTGGGGTGGTCCCTGAAAATCATGAGAAGCCATTCCAAATTGGCTTCTTCGAGTTAAGTGGCATCTTTCATCCTGTCTTGTGTTTGAGTCCTCTATGAGTCCATTCTAATCTATTTACCAGGCTTTGAGCTCTTTGGAGGCAATGCTGGAGTTTTTGCATGTCTGTACTTGAAGACAGAGGACTGGGTAAGGCACAGGAAGCTCTAATTTCTTCCCATGAACTTAGAAGAATAAGGAAAATTAAGGAACACACATTATATTATTGAAGTCTATTATGCACCAGAATAGTATGACACAGTCTTTTCTTTATTGCTTTATTTGTTTGCTTGCTTGCAACAGGGTCTTACTGTATAAGGCAAAAGTGCCAGCCACTAAATCCAGCTCCACACGTTGTTTCATTCAACCCTTACAACATTCCTTTCACAGGTATCACTGTTCTCATTTTACAGGTCTCAAAATTGAGGCTGAGAAGCTAAAACAAATGTCTTACCTCCAAGCTAATTTACAATCTAGTAAGGGAAAATATTATGTATGTCAAAATAGCAAAAGCAAGGCCAGTAGTACACAATAAGAACAGTTCAAGCAACTTCAAAGAAAAGAAAATGATTTCTTTAGGAGGATTTTGTAGATGGTACTATAAAATCTTGGTTGGACTAGCAAGGATAAGATAATGCTAATCGTTAAAGATAAATGCACTCCAAGGAGCTACAGTTTTTACTCTGGCACCCACAGTTCTTTCTCTAGTCTTAGGACAGCTTCTTCACTCCCCACCCCACTTAAACACTACAAGACAATAATCACAGTTGTACAAAATTTAACCATGAAAAAAGAGACACTGATTAGCAAAATAGCCTATATGTGTAACGTATGCTATTTATTGAGGCTTCTTAGGAGTCGGAACACGTGCATGAGTTTTTTCTATAAATTAATTCATTTAGCGTTTCCAACATCTCATAATAATTCAGATATTTCAGAAAAGACAAGCATAAAAAAGAGTCATGCAACCCTAACATAGAAATATGTGACTATTAAGTGACTAGGACAAGGAGTCAGGCTCACATTGATCTGACTCCTGAGCCAACTCATAATGACGCTGTGCAACTAATCAAGCTGTAAAGCTCTTTATTTAATCAAGAGAAAAAAAGAAAGAAAGAAAGAAAGAAAGAAAGAAAGAAAGAAAGAAAGAAAGAAAGAAAGAAAGAAAGAAAAGAAGAAGGAAGGAAGGAAGGA